AAGCATATCAACTACCTCGCCAGGTATACAGGAGGTCGTGGGTTTGATCCCGACCCTGACGCCTGCTGCTGTATATTTGGAGTTTACGTGTTTCTAAACGTTGAGGGGTTTTTCTCCTCCACGTTTAGAATCAACGTCAAACGTTTCGAGGATTTAGCTGATATAAATATTCCACAGGATGATGATAAGCCACTTCATTGAGCTATAATTTGTGATGGCCAGGTCACTTATGAAAAATAGCTACATAGCTCAGTGTGCCTTACAGGCCTTACACCTGGTAAAATAAACATTGGAAGACTACAAGGACTCCAGGGGTATGTTCGTAAGTCGATTTGTTTGTAAGTCCAACTTTACTCCTGTCAATTCCAAACATGTTGTATGGCATGTACACTATACATGGAGAATGGCTTTAAACGTTGTGTAGTGTAACCACACGGAGACGAGGAATGTTACTCAGGCTGCTTGCCGTTTATTTACACACACACTGCATCCTACACTCATACCAGTTGTAGGTGCACGCTACCCTCGGTCCTTCACACAGATACCTCGCAAATGATACAATGCCCTGCTACGGCTACCCCTATCTCTACTCCCTCGTCTGCCCCGGGTGGGGGATCAGCCAACACCGCCTGGCGACGAGGTGAGATGTCTTCACAGCAGGTCCTCACCCTTGCCCCAACGACGACCCCCAGCTCAGGCAACGGGGTCCCTTTTAAACCTCCTGCGTGGCTCCTCTCTCCGGCTAGGCTCCACCCCCTTTTGTAAAGTACTTTCGGGCTCCACCCACTTTCGGAAAATGCTTTCCGAAAGTTACTTACGTCATCTCTCAAGGTTACATCATATATGCTCTCACGTAACCTTTCGACCAACCTGCACTTCCCTACGCTCGCCCCTCATTGACTACTCGAGGTACTCCTCTTCAGTTGTAAAATCTCCTTTAGCTGTAGATGCCACTTGTTCTTCATGTTCTGCAGATGTAGATGCCACCACTGCGATCTATTGCGCGGCGGTTGAACTTACGACTCTTGGTCCGAACAGGCAATTGGACATCCAGACGGGTTTGTTCGTGTCTCTGAAAGTTCGTAAGTCAACTGTACGTAAGTAGAGTCCCTGTAGTATCTACTCCACATTTTAAGCGATCATCCACAGTAATTTGTTATTCGACTGCTTGTGCAAGTCGCCGAGGGTTTACACTGGAAGAGGCAGCGATCACTCTAGCTCCCGGATAGAGGCAATGCTCGCTTCCTCGGGGGTATGGACAGAAAGAGAGTCAGGACGAGGGTAGATGCCACGCGTGGAGAGTGCAGAGGTGTAGAACTGGGGGAGATTGCAGAGTTACATAGAGTTAGGGCGCAGTTATCCGAGGAGTGAATTGTGTTAAGTGAAAACCTCGTTAAACGGACATTGTTTTCCCATTGCGTTTGAGCCCCAACATTTTCCACTCTTGAGCAATTTTTTTTAACGTGAGAAATGCAAATTATAACTTTAAAACAAAGTAATAAAACATCAAATGTAACACTCACCTACCCCTGCAACATCAGCTCCTTTCCTAGCCCCTGTCCCTCCGTCTGTTCCGTCACCTCCCTCACTAACAGCTGTTCCATCCCACCCGTTCCTCCCCTTTTTCCCCTTTGTGTACCGCCATCGGTTTGCGTTGTAAAGCGCCATAGAAAGGTCGCTAGATACATTCTAAATAGAAGGAAGAACCACAGCACGTTGCAGTGTGCCTGTCCTCAGCGCCTGCAATTAATTAGTGCCGCTACCCTCCCCATCCACCCCATCCACTTCATTGACAGCTTCCAACGGAAGCAGCAAATCGTCACGGCACTTACGATTCGACGCGGAGATGAGAACCTCGGCAGCGTCATACCGTGTGTATCCGAAACCGTCGAGAGTCAAAACACGTGTTCAATAAAGCTGCGCTGGGCAAGGTTTTCCTGTATAATAATAACGACATTTATAACGCTGCAGATTTTGCACGCAACAACTCAGAGGCGCGGAGCCAAGCTCAGGGCTGCTCGAAAGCCTCAGCAAACAGATTAGAGGACGCATTTAGATGTTTATGAAAGTCCGAGTGCATTTGATGTTGCGGATGTGCAAAGGAATTGGAGAGTTCCACACCGAGGGGGCGACAGCAGAGAACCGACCTGAGGGTTTAACAGTATAGTGTAGTGTATAGTGTAGTGTACAGTGTGTAGTGTATAGTAGTGGTGTATAGTGTAGTGTATAGCAGTGTCATGTATAGTAGTGTATAGTGTAGTGTATAGTAGTGTAGTGTATAGTGTAGTGTATAGCAGTGTCATGTATAGTAGTGTATAGTGTAGTGTATAGTAGTGTAGTGTATAGTGACGAGAGGCTGTAATAATTCGAGACCTTTGGTGTCCGAAGCAGATTTTGAGTGACGCTTTGCGTAGGGTTCTACCATGAGCCTTCAGTGCAAGGCGAGAGTAGTGAGGCGAAGCATGGTGGGAAACCGGTGGTGAAGGCGCGGTGACAAAGGCGTTATAGCTCTTCCATGACAAGGTCCACAGAGATCGTTGCACCAAGCAGATGGAAGTAGAATTGCTATGACAGCTCTTGTTGGAACGAATATTTATACCGCCGATGTTATTTATTGTTGGCGTTGTTGTCCCACGTTAGGACGTACATGGAAAATGGTGCTGTTGAAGAGGCTGCAGCCCCATCCGTCCCTGTTGGCGGGAGGATGCTGTGCTGTTTCCGCAAGAGGTGCTACTCGTTTTATGGATGCTTCGGTATTTTGAGTTACCGCATTGCAGGCAGCAGCAAGCGCCTTCATTTGGTGTTCAGCAACCCTTTCTTCGTTCACTCTATACAGCTCTCCATGAAGATAGAGGAATACGGTGTTGACAAAGAATGGCTAGCGGGTACTTTACACGTCATGTACAAGTCGGCATCGGAAGGCAGAAGGAGTCAATTTTGCAAGATCTTTGCTGGCTACAACGAGGCAATCGTTGTCGACCATGACCTGAGATTACAGGTCACAGCAAGCATAGAAAACAAATGCCGTTGCGTCATTAGAGTCGCGCTTTCTTCTCTACCATAATGTTGGATACGTGTGGATTTTAGCTTAAAATAATTTTTGGTAGAAATGGCACTTTACAATGCCTCTCCCGGCCTGTAAAAAAACTATATATGTTATTTGTTTTCCTCACTTTATCTTTGTTCCCTACGAACACTTTCTGCGCTACTTCAGCCTCAACCTCACGCATCGGTCATATCCTGCCTATGCATAATGTACGCATACTCCATATATAGTGGTGGAAATGGGCCGGTATATGATGGTATGCCATACCTGCACTTCAAAAAAAAAAACGGTTGTATAAAGGTTTCCCTTGGTTTGTGCGGGTTCAGTTTGTGAGATTACGTGCAGTAAATGCGGTTAACCTATTTGTACCCAAAAATTATATTCTGATAAGGAGGCAACTGCCTGCCGATGAGTGAATTTGAGTGGAGTGCTAGATGAGGGCGCCTCGGTGGCAAGATGTTAACCTCGCCTGGTTTTCAGAAGGTTGTAGGTTTGTTCCCGACCCTAACGCCTGTATATTTGGAGTTTGCGTGTTCTCCCCATGGTCGCGTGGATTTTTCTCCAGGTCTTCCGGTTTTTCCCTCCTGTCTACCGGTTTTATGCTGATTTTACTCTTTTATCAAGCACGTAAATTATATATATACACACGTACATAAAGACTACGAATGATAAATGAGTCACAAAGACATGAACACGAAGTTTGACACGCTGGTGTATACTGAATTTGGGGTTTATTTTAAAATTGGGAATTTTTGTTAACAGTTCATGCCTACAACAACAACAAAAAACACCCAGAATGCACCCGATCTCGTCAGATCTCGGAAGCTAAGTAGGGTCGACCCTGTAAAGTGCTCGGATGGGCGACCACCGCGCGTAAAGGATGTTACAATAGGCAGGTTGTGGGCCTAACGTTGTGGGTATCAGAGGGCAACTGCAGCAAAATTGCTGTACCGTACCATGCTCATCTCTACGTTACCCAACGTGCGTTAACCGGCGTTAATTAACCCCCCCCCCCCTCCGCAACCCACACGGCTAGTAGAGGCCCTCATCCAGCAATGATGTGATAAAAGTGCTACAACGATGATAAAAAAGGATAGGATTTACCCTTTACAGCAATAACACAGGAGGGTGTTGAGGTGTTCAAACGCCAAATAGACACCTACTATTGCAAGACATGAAGCCTGCATGAACCACACATCATGCTTGTGGTAAAGCATGCAAAACAAACACGCTCTGCTGATAATGTATGCATTGTCCTTGGAAATTATTGGCCTACACCAGAGACAACCTCTTTATGGCCTTGCCTCTGTACCAGTGTCAGATCAGAGAACAACGCCGAAAATAGCAAAGCATTAATAGCTCGGATTGAGCAGTGTTTGAACATCTTCACATCTGTATTATTTGCTGCAAAGGGTAAAGCCTATTATTTTTTCATAATCTGGATACCAGTAAAAAGGGGTCCCACAGATAAAAGTGCTACACATCTACACGTTACAACAGCTTCTAAGCGCAATAGTGATACGTTCGTACGGACTACAGGAACACAATAACATTGCATGTTGGGGTAGAGAGCACCATTCACAAGAACGACACGGTAACTAGTAGGCCCGTGGCAGCATCTTCGTCATTGCATTCATGCTGCCCTGCTGCACTTATTTTTTCTACGTGTTATTTTCCTTAAATCAATACAGTTCACAGTTTGGAGCCCCCCTCTATATGCAGATGGGGTGTTTTTTCTTCTCCTGCCTCCATCGTCTTTAGGCCCCAACCCCCTGCTTGAGACACGGTCCGAGATGTGACGATGTGTGATTGGCGGCTGGGAATGTGGCAACAGGGATGAGGGGAGATGGAGGAAGTGGGAGGGAACCGTGGGGACAAGAGGGCACGTTGGAGGGGGGTCGAAAGGAGAGAGTTGTGGATGAAGGAGGGTGCTTATGTTATCTAGGATTTTATCTAGCGCTTGTCAACACGCTTTACAAGAATTATAAATGGTACCTTAGTAAAGGATGGGGTTTGAGTGTTTGGGATGGGAAGGGATGGCAAGGGAGGGTGATGATAGGGAAAGGGAGGGGCGAGGTTAGGAAGGGGAAGATGGTTAAGAGGTTCGAAGGACGAGGACAGGAAGTGGAAGAGGGGTATGCTATTGAAAAAAGATTAGTCTTCAGGGAGGAACGAATTTTTTTCGTGAAATTGCCCTGCTTGATGTGGAGTGGGAGTTTATTCAAATAGAATGGAGTCAGGAGGGAAAAGGAGCAGAGACGTGACTGGGCACAGGGAGGGAGGAGGCATAGTGAGGGACAATAGAGACTGTGAACGCAGGGGCCTAGATGGAACATAGTAAGATATAAGAGAAGCGAGATAAGATGGGGCAGAAGACATGGAGCGATTTGTAAATAAGGGTGAAGAATTTGAATAAACAGCCGTAGTAGACGGGAAGCCAATGGAGTTGGACAAGGAGAGCAGAGGAATGGGTGTGATGTGGAAGATTAAAAAGAATCCTGGCCGAAGCATTTGAGTTTGCTGGAGGAGAGCAAAGGAGCTGTGTGGAAAGAGCTGTGGATGAAGGAGGAAGCTCTGTGTGGAGAGAGCTGTGGATGAAGGAGGGAGCTGTGTGTGACAGAGGTGGAATAAACAAACTGGAATCCTGACCTGTCTCCGCGTGTTGGTGGGGAGAGTGCCATACGTTGATGTGTTGCGTAACATAGTAGGCCTAAACAGCTTCAGTATTTAAACGTATTGTTTTGTTACTTTAAACTTGGTGCGAATATAATGGGGAAGTTACATCAATAAAAACGTTCTGCTCAGCTGGACCTTCGAAGGTCACCCAGCGCCTCAATGTCTCGGGTCCCGGCTACATCTACTCATGGCGACGGCTTGACTGACCACCCAGACACACCCATGGGAACCCGACACTACGCACGCATGTTTGAAGAAATGGATGTCAAGCAAGAAGAAGAAAATTCAAGCTATGCCAGTAAGACTCTGTCTTACATTTGCTACACTGTTATACACGGCGATCCATTATCTATAAAGCCCCTCTTATTCTCAAGAGGTGATTGAATCATGATATCGCGGCAAACCTTACCAGTGTGTTCTAGAGTGAGCCATTAAAGCAGAGGGGAACAAAAATCCTTTCCCACACTCCTTGCACACGTGCGGCCTCTCACCCGTGTGTGTCTTCATGTGCGTCCTCAAACCGTAGACGTCCGCAAAGCCCTTGCCGCACTCTTTGCAAACGTGTGGCTTCTCGCCGGTGTGCGTTCTGGAGTGCGCCTTTAAAATAGAGCGATACAGAAAGCCCTTGCCGCACTCTGCGCAGATGTGCGGCCGGTCGCCCGTGTGCGTCTTGGAGTGCTCCTTCAAGCCGGACGCGCGCGTGAATCGCTTCCCGCACTCCTCGCACGCGTGCGGCCTCTCGGCGGCGTGTGTCTTGGAGTGCTCCTTCAGGCCGGACGCGCGCGAAAACCCCTTGCCGCACTCCTCGCACGAGTGCGGCCGCTCGCCGGCGTGCGTCCTCGAGTGCGCGACCAGGCCGACGGCGTGGGCGAACCCCCTGCCGCACTCCCCGCACGAATGCGGCTTCGCGGCGCTGTGCGTTTTCGAGTGCTCCCTCAAGCCGGAGGGGTACAGGAACCCCCTCCCGCACTCGGCGCACATGTGCGGCCACTCTTTGCCGTGCGCCACGGAGTGTTCCTTCAAGCCAGACAGATGCGTGAACATCTTCCCGCATTCTTTGCACGCGTAGGGCTTTTCGCCGGTGTGCGTTCTGGAGTGTTCCTTCAAAGCGGAGGGGTACAGAAACCCCTTTCCGCACTCCTTGCAGACGTACGGCCACTCGTTTTTGTGCGTTCTGGAGTGCGCCTCGAGGGCAGAGGGGTTCAAGAACCCCTTTCCACATTCCTTGCACGTGTGTGGCCTCTCGCCCGTGTGCGTCCTGATGTGCTCTTTCAAGCTGAATGGGCGCGTGAAGCCCTTGCCGCACTCCCCGCAGAGGTGTGGCCTCTCGCCGTTGTGCGTTCTCGAGTGCAGCTTCAAAGCGGACGGGTAGGAAAACCCCTTGCCGCACTCCTTGCACACGTGTGGCCACTCGCCTGTGTGTGTTCGGAAGTGCTCCTTCAAACTGCACGGATATGCAAACCCCTTGCCGCACTCGTGGCAAACGTAGGGCTGTTCGTCAGGATGCACTGGCCGATCCACTTCCAAGCTATTGTCCTGCACGGAGCCATTCATAAACTCCTCGTACACGTACGGCTCCTCTCCAGCTTGCGTCCCAGACTGTTCCTTGTAGTGGGGATCGTCGTCGACGAGGCTCTTGCCACATTGCTTGCATGACTGCGGCCTCTCGTCGGTGTTTTCTATCAAAGGGAACTTCATGATGGAAAGTCTATCAAAGTCATTTCTGCACTCCTCACATAGGTGTCCTGGTCCAAGTTCATCATCTGCCACACACACACACACACAGTGCAAAGCAATTGCCTCTCTGGTTAAACGATCTAAGATGTTAAGCACTTCTTTAATAATAAGAGCTGTCAATGGAAGCACGATATGTCTGGATATAACTACAACAGGTTAAAAATGGCACAGCAAGACTGATTTTTAATGTTGCTATGCGCAACTGTGGCAAAATCTTTTTACCTTTTAATACATATTTGGCTAATTTCTTCATATAATCTTCGTGTGGCTGTTCTGGTTTTTGCAAGTACACATTATTTCTAAATGTTTATTTAGTTAGGCTTTGGTTTGCGAAGGCTTGTAATTGAAATTGATTTGATATTTTCCACAATCTGATTAATGGCGTGTGGTCAATGGTGGAGAAACCTTTCCTTAAACCCCTGCTTACTCCTCCTGTGGATGGCTGGCCTCTATTCCGCTGACTATTCCGTTCCCGCGATCTACATGAATAATGCATACGCATGTGACAAGAGACTAAACGGGTCTGTACTTATTCATATTCTTAGTTTTTTTTTTGTTTTTTCGGTAAAGTCACGTTGAAGAGAAACAACAAAATATATATAAAACAATAAAAAATTCTCACGACGTTTCGACCATAACTCAAACGGTCATCATCAGGTGTGTCGGTTTGCATAAATTTATTTTGAAAACGGCATATTTATTTATTTATATAAAAATAACGTTTGCGTCACGCGCAACGTTATTTTTATATAAATAAATAAATATGCCGTTTTCAAAATAAATTTATGCAAACCGACACACCTGATGATGACCGTTTGAGTTATGGTCGAAACGTCGTGAGAATTTTTTATTGTTTTATATATATTTTGTTGTTTCTCTTCAACGTGACTTTACCGAAAAAACTAAGAATATGAATTACTGCAGTCACGGGTCTGTACTTGTTCAAGTCGGATCGCAATTGCATGCCAAAATCGCCAGGCAGGCAGGCAAACAGGTGGGCGACTCACCGAAGACACTGTCTGCTTCCCACACCTCCATTTCGGTGAAAACCTGGGTCGGAGTGGCTTGGCTTTCACGACAGTCCAACATCTCTTCACCGTCGTCTCCGTTAACATGAAAGTCGCTGACTCGAGCTGGAGGAAAACAAAATGCGAAAAAATGCGAGCAGCCCGGACTTTTACCCGGACGGAAGATACACCATTTATAGACGACTTGGTGTGTACAAATAAAAATGCGTAACAGGGCAAAGGCTCAGCACTGCAATTGCCCATGCCTGCCACTGCTGTTGATAGAAAACGCCTCCACTAGGGGGAGCTCTGGGGAAGCGCTCGAGAGAGCAGTTGGGCCCAGTCCTTCCACAATGGCCGGACGCTTTGAAAGTAGGAGTAACCCACACTTTACCCTCGCCTGGTATACAGGAGGTTGTGGGTTTGATCCCGACTATGACGTCTGCTTTATATTTACAGTTTGCATGCCTCTCTCCCAGTGGTTGCGTGGACTTTTCTCCAAGTCCTCCAGTTTTTCCTTCCACATTTAGTATCAATATCAACGCGTTTAGAGTATTCAGCTGCTTCTATACTTTTCCACAAGATAAGCCACTTCGTTGAGCTATCATTTGTGGCCAAGTCGCTTCTGAAAAAGAGCTATATATATCTCAGTGGGTCTAACCTGGTAAAATAAAAAATGTTTTAGTTTAGTTTAGAATAACTGGTGTACCAAATTATATTGCTGGGTGGACAGAGGCAGGGCCGATGTGATTTAAGAAACTTTCCCCATTTAAAACTGCCGAACTGGTGACTCCTGGATTGCAAGTCCAGTGTATTAATCACTACACCGTGGCAGCATCCCTTCTACGTATATAAATAAATAACATTTCATATCCAGGTGGATACATTTATTGACGCACCTCAAAAGTAACATTACAAAGCGTCTTACACGTCTCAATGTGCCAACCTCGATGTACATAAATAACATCTGCAAGATATGACGCTACCCTACCTCTTTTCAAACCAGACAACCGAGCTGTGCCGAGTCAGGCCTTGTGCAGCTCAGAAAGACACCAGGCTTTAGTTTTTTTTTTCCCACAACAGAGCCGCGAGTCATGTCACTCACATTACCCTCGCTTGTACCCCGTGCCCAATTCAGATGTCTTTATGAGGGCCATCGTATATCACTTGTCTGGTTCTGGCACAGTAAATAGCCAGTGGGGGAAAAAAACCCCACCATGCCGTTTATCGGCTACGTACGGTGCGAAAGAAGTTCAAAGACTCCCAGTATAGCTTGCAACGGACTGTTGCGGCACGTGCTGCTAGCGATCAGCACCTACGAAGGCCAGTGTAGCACACAAGGGGGTGGGTGGCCAATACCACGCCCGGCCGCCATTGTCTCCCCAGTGGCGATATTTACTATACACCACACCAGGTACTCATTTTAGGCTGAGTCGACCTAGGGGAGGCCCATGACCGGTTAATCGTCACCGGTGTTGGCCGTGAGCGGGAATCTAACTTGGGTCGCCGGGTTCGTAGCTCGGTGCGCTAACCGCTACGCTACCGCTCCCCACTGCGCACTGTGAAAAAGAAGTTCAATGTACATACAGTACATAAGTACGTATGTTAAGGCCCCCGTGCTGGCTCGGCTCAGATGTGCCGGTGGAAAACGGGCTCTAAGATGATCATGTCTACAAATGGATCATCCCCGTAATAACGTCGGAAAACGTAAGCGGAAATAGTCTTACTGGCATTTTCCATGTCGTCCTTCACGATTACTTTCAGCACCTCATAGCTCGGCTCTTGTTCATCTTCCTGCTTCATGTCCATCTCTTCAGACATGCACGCATGCACAAGGCGCGCGTCAGAGAAACGCGACCGCAAATAATCGCCACCGATGTTGGCCGTGAGCAGGAATCGAACTCCGGGTGCCGGGTTTCGTAGCGTGTTGCGCCGACCGCCGCACTACCCGTCCCGCCACCACTGCGCCACACGGGTTGATGTCGCGGATCGGCGGCACAGTCGTCCTAACGAACACTCGGGAGACCCATGGGTGTTTTTATCGCCACCATCGCCAGTTGACATTCGCACCGCACCTCCCATACGGGGACGCCTCAAAGGACGCTGGGGAACTACCCCGTTGGCAGCTGTCCCTGCGTGGCATGGGAAGAGCGCAGGACCAGCCTAAATGTGGATGCGGAGTCTGCCGGTAGGTTTTTGCGACGTCGCCATTCGGCTTTTTGCCAAATTTCAGTCAAGTGCGTGCGGCAACTCATCAAATTTGTCAAATTTTGGATCATGACACCAACCCCCCACACAGCCGACCATCGTTCGAATAAAATCAATAGGTCCTCAGCGTCCGCTGCGAAGCGGAATGGTGCGTCATATTATTGAGAGTGTTTTTTTGGCTGCTGATATAAATACATTTCCACATTATGAGCCACTTTGAGCCATCATTTTGTGACGGCCGTGTCGCTTCTGAGAAAGAGGTATATTCTAAAATAAGTTTTTCCCCTTTTTTCTGGCAACAAAACTGAAACCTTTTTTACAAACACTGAAACCTTTTTCCAAGGAATCATGTCTGCATTAACCACAATACTTGTGGTCAGAATGCAAACAAAAAAACACTGATAATATATGCATTGTCCTTGAAACTGATTGGTCCACACCAGAGACAGCTTTCAGAAAGCTTGCATTCTGACCACAAGCATTGTGGCTAATGCAGACATGATTCCTCATAAAAAGGTTTCAGTTTTGTTGCCAGAGAAAAGGGGAAAAACCTATTGTTATATTTTGGTACTGGCAAGTGGTGCCTTACCTGGTAAAATAAAAATAGCTTAGTTTAGATATGAACCTCTTTCCGAATAATGATGATGTACGTGTACGTCATCGTTTTTTCTTTAGATTCCGTTCCAATTATGTAAATAAAGTAACTTTATATCGGTACCTAGCCTCCCACAAGGCCATGCGGGAGGTTGCGTGGCACAGTTTTGGCACCAGCTATCGTAGCGTCGCGGCGGTCGTGTCGCTACAGTTCTCTGTGGTGAGCAACGACTTTTTTATAAAACCAATGGCGTTGCTGCTGCTGCTGCTACTACGCCTCTCTAAATAAAATTAACGCTGAGCCGCTAAACGCATTCCGAGTTTCGGGACACCACCCACACCCTGCAACTTGCAGACATCACGGAACAGGGAAAGTGTTAACTAGGCCAGCCCCTGGGTTCGAACTGCTAACCGCTACAACAAGAGGCAAACGCCATGCTTGGCAGATGAAAGCGGAGAAGATGTAAAGAGGGGGATCTCACCAGCATCAAACTCTTCACATTTCACCGCCCAGTCAAAGCACAGGCCAGGGCCCGGCGTTTCCTCTTCCTCCCGCTTGATGTGAGGATGTGCGAAGTTGGACGACATCTGAAGGGGACGGGGACATTTAAAAAAATATTTATTTAAAAGTTATCCCGTCCAGGAAAGTTTCCACGGTATTAGGCAACTTTGGTTCATGATTTAAAACTGCAGCGGACTCTTGATTATCCACGCGTGCGGTTTATCCAATTTGTGGATGAACCGCGCACCTGAGAGCTTGACAAAAATTCATACACTCGTGGATTTTCCCTTAAGCCCAAATTGATAATATAAAAAGCAGCTAAACATTGTTATTTTTGGAAATATTTATTTAAAGTCACACGGTGCTTAAACAGAACAAATATGTTCCTCCGGTTAATCCGAAATCCAAATGATTTCCCCTACAGTACAGTAGTTGCCATATCTTTACAACAGTGGGTGGAGTTTGATTGATGTTGATTGGCGTGACTCTGCTATCCACTTAGTGGGCCGAGTTTTCTGCTGGGCGGGAGCAGGAAAGTGTTATCACTGAGCACGCACATCGATCGGTCGGTCGTATTTGTTCTAATTTATACTTATATTCCTGGTTATTGGCATAGAGATCTGCGGAAAAGTTATATTTTTGGATTATCCACGATTTTGAATTATCTATGGCCGTCCTCCCCGTCATTAGCACGGATAATCGAGAGTCCACTGTAATCCGTTCGAGATAAAAATCAAATCACAGGAGCCCAAAGGTTCTGAACACCAAACATCCAGCAACAAGCAGAAGTCTTGAAGACGTAACAGATAACCAGCCAGATGACTCAGCAGTAGAAGGACCAACCCATGTGGAATCATGGCAGACCCATGGGGACCAATGCGGCCCCAAGTCTCTATGCCTTCTGTGTTGCTTGTTGTCCTTCTCCCGCACCTCCGATTGGCATGGTTGGCTACTTACGGTGCGAAAGAAGTTCAAGATACATACGTACATGTGGCTCGATGGGGACATATGAGGATCCATAGGGACCCATGGAAACCCATAGGAGACCCACGTGACCCATTGGGGACTCAAGAGCCCCATGTGGACTCATGAGGACTTGTGTGGACCCACAGACCTGTAACCTACAGCCCCATCGAAACCAATGTGAAAACCACATGGACCCATAGAGCCCCATGTGGATCAACGCAGATTCTACGTTGACCCAGAGACCAGTAAGCATTCAAACCTATTCAGAACAATGCAGATGCGTGTAGACCTATGGTGCCCCATGCAGACCCATGGGGTCCCACAGACCCATTGCATTCACACATCATACACTGGGAGTGTCGTGCTGCCAGCTATGGCTGCAGTTTTTTTGTCGTCCGTGTTACATATGTCGTTTATTGTTAAATGTAAAATCACAGTTCCTATGATTACTGTTGTTACATTGTTTTATTAGCTTTATTTTGGTGATTCGAAAACATATGGTTAATCCAAATTGTCTTATGGTTGTTGTTGTTGGCTTGCACCACATTGATTTTTGCACACAGCGTTTTAATACGTTTTTTTGTGTGTGGAATATTTGCTGGTTTATTCCAGAATGTTTCTGTTACGCGTTGTCGCTTTAAGATGTTCTGTGTTCAAATTTTTGTTTGTTGCGGTTGCACCCGACTTAAGAGCCGCATGGCTCACAGGGCTATACCTAATAAATGAAACTTGAAAACTTGAAACATACAAAACCCAAAAGATGCAAACCCATCCAGACCAATGTAGAAGCATGATGACCCGTGGGGAATCCACAGAGACTCATAGAGACCCATGTGGTCCAATGGGAACCCATGCAGGCCGGTGTGGACTCACAGGCCCCGTTGCATACAAACCCATCAAGACCGCTGCAGACGGGTGTAGACCTATGGGGTCCCCATGGAGACCCGTGGGGGGCCCACAGCACCCAGTAACCTACAAACCCACCCAGAACAATGTAGAACCACGGGGACTCATAGGGACCCGTGTGGACGGACCCACGAGGACCCTTGGCGACCCACAGAGACTCATAGAGACCCGTGTGGCACCCGTTGGGGATCCTATGCGAACCCTCTTGAGTACCCAACGTGGGCCAATGCAGACGAGGTGTGAGCCCACACTGACACCCGTAGCGTACAAACCCATCCAGAACAATGCAGACGCATGGGTGGGGGGGGGGGGTCCCAATGTGGGGGAGGGGGGGGTCCCAATGTGGGGTGGGGGTCCCAATGTGGGGGGTGGGGGACCCAATGTGGGTGGGGGGGGGCTCCATTGGGGGTTCCAATGGGGGACCCCCCACGTGGGTTCCCCAATGGGGACCCACGGGGATGGGGGAGGGTGTATGGCGGGGTACCCCCCCCCCTTACCCCATCTCCCACTTACAGCGCAGAGGGAAGAACCCCCCCCCCCCCCCAACGCCGCCTTGGACTCCCCGCCGGATTGCAGAAGAAGGGGCAGCAGCAGCAGGAGCAGCAGCAGCAGGAGGAGGAGCAGGAGCAGGAGGCGACGCGAGACGGAGGCCCCGAAGATGAATTGAAGAGCGCGCAGCGGCGGATAGATGCAGCGCAAGGCCGGTCACGTCAACCACACACTCACACACGGGCACAGACAAAGGGGCCCCCCGTGTAGTCTCTAAGCGGGTTCAGGGGCAAGTGCTGCTAGCGAGTTGCAGCAGCAGCAGCAGCAGCGCCTATGAAGGAGACACAGACAAAGGTCCCCCGGGTAGCCTCCAACACCCTATTGGGGCAAGTGCTGCTAGCGAGTTGCAGCGGCGCCTATGAAGGAGACACAGACAAAGGTCCCCCAGGTAGCCTCGAACACCCTATTGGGGCAAGTGCTGTTAGCGAGCTGCAGCAGCGCCTATGAAGAAGTTCACAGACAAAGGTCCCCCGGGTAGTCTCTAACACCCTATTGGGGCAAGTGCTGCTAGCGAGTTGCAGCAGCAGCGCCTATGAAGGAGACAAAGGTCCCCCAGGTAGCCTCTAACACCCTATTGGGGCAAGTGCTATTAGCGAGCTGCAGCAGCAGCGCCTATGAAGTTCACAGACAAAGGTCCCCCAGATAGCCTCTAACACCCTATTGGGGCAAGTGCTGTTAGCGAGCTGCAGCAGCGCCTATGAAGTTCCCAGACAAAGGTCCCCCGGGTAGCCTCGAACACCCTATTAGGGGCAAGTGCTGTTAACGAGTTGCTGCAGCAGCAGCGCCTATGAAGAAGTTCCCAGACAAAGGTCCCCCGGGTAGCCTCGAACACCCTATTGGGGAGTCCCAATTTGGTTTCAGGAAAGGGCAGTCCTGCACAGATGCCATATTTTCTGTCCGTCTGCAGAAATGTAGGGAATTTCAACAAGACCTACATCTCTGCGTTATTGACCTGGTCAAGGCCTATGATACCATCAGTAGGCCTGGGCTCTGGGTTATTCTTCGTGCTTTCAGAGTCCCTGACTCTGCTCAAGATCATTAAGGACCTTCATGATGGTGAGCGGGCCCGGGTAAAACTACGTGGCCGGGAGTTGGAGCCATTCCCTGGTGACCTTCGGGTGCGACAGGGATGTCCTCTGGCCCCCACATTATTTAACATCTATTTCGACCACGTAGTTCGTGAAGCCTTCGATTGCTATACCGGAGGAATTTCTATCTGGTACAGATACAATGGGAGGCTGATCGATGCATCGGTGCAGTCAAGAGATGGCTCCGTATTGGTCAACTATGTTATGTATGGTGATAATCTGGTAATTGCTGCTCACTCAGAGGAGGAGTTGGAGGCGCTGCTGCTGAACCTGGAGCATGCACTAAGCGGTGGGGCCTTACCATCAGCCCCACCAAAACTAAGCACCACCCCCACAACTCCCAATTGGTGGTGGGGCAGTTGTGGAGAGAGTGGAGAGCTTCCCATACCTGGGCAGTGTGCTCATGAGCGGCTCCGGTTTGACAGCAGAGGTCTCACTCCGAATCAGTTGAGCAGCATTATCTTTTCATCGGTTGCGTAACGTTGTGTGGAAGCTGGTCTGTTGCTCCACACGAAGCTTTTAGGTCTTCTCGGCCACAGTCATGCTGTCCCTTCTCTACGCTTGCGAAACGTGGACCCCCCTAATGGACCATCTTCGCTGGTTAGAAACATTTAGGCCTGCCTATGATCTATTATGAGTTTAACCAGGCTGGATTGTGTGAAGCGCTCACAAATCCTTGAAAGGTCTGGACAAAGTCCCATCGGTGAGCTCCTCCGGCAGGCAAGGCTGCGTTGGCTGGGTCATGTAGCCTGCATGCCCAGCCACCACATGCTTAAACAGCTTTGTTCGGCCGGATAAAGGGGGCTAGCTAGATGGAGTGATGTGGTACAGGAGGATGTGGAGCTGAGTGGACTTGCCGATGACTGGTACCAGCGATGTCTAGATCGGCCTCTGTGGAGGAGCCTCGTGAAGGATGCTACTGGGCAGTTGGAGACAATCGCCCTCCAACAACAACGGAGGGCGGACGAGCGACGCTCACAACAACGAGCAGAGCTCCGAGCGGCTAAAGCACAGCAAGTTGGCACAGTAGGGGGCACAGGTGGTGCATCGGCCAGTCATCTCAGTCAGTCGACCTGTGGCACCTGGGTCTGGCCCATGACCTCCTGCCAGCCTAGCACAAGCGCCATTGTGACGTCACCACCACTTAGTGGCGAATGGCGGTTGTTATGTATGGGTCTCTGCGAGCCTATGCGAGCCTATGCGAATCTATGGGTCTCTCTGCGAGTCTATGGGAGTCTATGGGTCTCTGTGTAAGTATATAGATCTCTGTGTGAGTCAAAGGGAGCGGTAGTGTAGCGGTTAGAGGGCTGCGGTACGAACCTGGCGACTCGTGTTCAATTCCTGCTCACGGCCAAAATCAGTGACGATTATCTGAACCAGTCCTGGTCCTCCCCTAGGTCGACGCAGCCTCAAATTAGTGCCTGGTGCGGTGTATAAACATTGCCACCGGGGAAACAAAGGCGGCTGGGCGTGGTGCTGGCTACCCACCCCCTCGTGTGCCGTGCTGGCCTTTATAGGTGCCCACTAGCAGCACTTGCCCCTACAGTCTGTTAGGGCTATACGGGGGATCTTTGTCTTTGCCTTGTGTGTGTATGTTAAAGGTGAACTTGGCCCAATGAGTCTCTCCAAGTTGAAAGTCCATAACCCGGTCCAGAGTTGTCTCGTATTGAAGCAATACTGATGAAATTATGCACATCCAGAAGGCTGTGCAGATGATGGTACGTGTAAAAACATGCTCATATATTTATCTGCAGGGGAAAATTTGTAAAGGATTCTTATTTTGTGTGCTTATCTATTTGTTACTTATATTCTCCACAACAATGCTAACAATGCGTGTTGTGTTAGCTGATGATGATAACCTTGCAGGAACTTACAGAAGCTATATTATGAAGCCAGATGTATCTCAGTGTTGACGCCTCTTAACAGATTAGGAAAAGTCTGACAAAAGGGCTGATATCCGTTTGCCTGAACTGCATTTGGTCCCAGAAATGTTTAAGTCTGGGCAATAAATTGAGCGTCTACCAGTGCTGTGTTTTGTCAGGTTTGTTGTATGGTGCGGTGGCCTGGACATTGCTTCAAGCTGATTTCGATCAGCTGCAGTCCTCCCACAGGCGATGCCAAAGTCGCCGTCTGGGCATTCGACGGTTCGATTTTGTCAGAAATGTCACCGTTGCGTCTGCGACCGGTCTCCTTAGCCACGGGAGCTTAGTTCGAGGGAGACGGCTGTCACTTTGTGGACACATCGACCCGTCTTGATGTGCAAACTCCTGCAGGAAAATTGTGTGCTCGCTTCAGTTGGCGGTCGACGTTCGAAGCGGACTGCGACCCTAAAAGAAAATGGCGCTGCCCACGTGGTCGCCTCCCCCCCCCCCCGCCCCGTGTACCAAATGAATCATTCGAGACGCCGGTGTATGGCGGCAAGAGCAGTTCATGCAAATGCCGTCGAAATAGGTTACACGTTTGACGCAACAATTCCTCGCTGACTATGGGTGATGAATGTATATTTAATTGCTCATGCAGTAATATACTCGATTGGGTTACTGTAGTGGTGTAGTCGTTAACAAACTGAACTCGCAAATCATAGGTTGGTGGTTCGATTTGGTCTCCCCACACAGCACTCGACTTGTGGGGAAGTTTCTTAACCCCCCTCCCCTCATCCCCTCCCCCATCGCTCCCCACGGCCCCTGTCCACCCAGCAGGGTGGTGTTAGTTTACGGATATTATCCTGCAACAGGCTTACACCTCGGGGTCAGGGAGAGAGGGAGGAGTCTTTCAACATCAGAGGGCGGGCCCAAGCCCAACCCGGAAAGTTCCAGAGGAAAAATCGAACTATGATTGGTCAGCTTAGTTCAAAAGCAAAGAGAGCGGGAAAGTTGAACAGGGGGAGGAGACAGTGGCGAGTCGGTTGGGAGGCAGAGAGATGGGATTGGTGGAGCAAGAGCGGGGGGGGGGGGGACGAGAGGGAAGGGGATAAAAGGAGAGGGTCGAGAAGGGGGAGACGGTTGGGAAAAAATGGTGGCTGGAGGCTTGTCAGTCGATGTGCTCAAATTAAAGTCCTCATATCTGACGTTGGCTTCCCGAGTCCTTCAGTGGTATGCGGGTGGTGGTGGTAGTACATGGTTGCATCACAGTGTTCCAAGCCGTCTGGCCAGCGTATAAATGGAGACCAGAATGCCCTCTCGAGTCTAAAGTGACCGTCTAGACTGCAGTGGGTCTTCAACCTTGTTTGGCTACGACTGTACTACACCCGTTGTTGAATGTGTTTCAACCGAGTAGCAGCCCCGCCTCCCCTCTGGCCTGACCGAACATGATTGAGAAATAAATGTACGAATGATGAATGTAAATATTTTCAACAATAATGAACCTAATGGCGGGACCCTTCCGTTCCCGTATGAACGGAAGTAAAAATCGTAATTTATGTATTTTTGGCGACTCCATCCCACCACGCGGACAAACGCCGCGAAACCACCTGGCACGGGTCATTCACCAAGCACCCGTTGTTGCCAAAATTGCCGTAGTCATAAGAGGAATCGATTGCCGTATCTTTCGCCTTCAACAGACATAAAATGACGCCATAATAAAGGTTTTTGGGTTAGATCGCGTTATTTATAAATGTGTCGTAACCCTCCACCACCCGACACGGCCAATCAGCAAAAAAAAGTGTCACGTTGACAAAAGACAAAAATAGTTCACTACTTTAGCCCACCGGTGTGTTGAAGAGTGAATCAACATAATTATTATTTTTTTATTTTTTACTGTTTGGCCGTGTTGGGTGGTGGAGGGTTATACGACACATTTATAAATGACTCGATCTAACCCAAAATCTTTATTATGAATAATATTGGTAGCGAAAGCCTACGTGTTAAAATAAAATGACGTCGCAACGCAGTTTATGCGAGAGCCAGGGACTTATGGGACCCCGGGGTCCCTCCATAAGGTTCCATTTTCCATTTAGTGAAGTATCCTAATTAGCTCGTAACTGCATTAAAAAAATATGCAACGTACGCTTTGCTTGCATGACGTAATCTCTCCATGCTCGCTAATTACTCTTTGAAACGACATTATTTATGATCAATAGAAAGGTATTTTACATAGTTCTAGATTACCATATGGTTTAAAA